TTAAGATCAATTTAATATCTGATCCGTGGTCCATCGGGAAAAAAAAAAAAGATTTAGGGGAAGAAGATACGGCAAGCGGTGGGGGGCCTCCCTGCGCTACTGACCAAGTGCGCACAATGGCGACAATTGAAAAAATCGAGAACTTAAAAAAAAAAAAAAAAAAATCGAGAACGAATCTGTCCCTAGAACATGGAAAGATACACCGGCACATTTTGTCTTTTGTGCATGTGCAGAGTACCCCTCTTCACCCGAACATCTGGGGGGTGGTCCCACTAGCAAAGAGGATCGGATCGGATGGCCGAATCTGGACGTAATTGTGGAGAGGTGCAGGAAATCGAGATTGAACTGCTTTTCTGCACCTCTGCATAAAACACATCCAGATGCACGAGCTTGATCCTATCCTCTTTGCTAGTGGGACCTCGGCCCTGGACTCAAAGCTGCCCCAAATAAAGCTATAACGACCGGACGTTGTAATCGGAGGCTAGGTCCCACTTGCGCGAATTAAGAGATAGAGACCGTACATAGCAAAGATCAACGGCCCAAATCTCCTAATCCGTGCAAGTGGGACCTAGCCCCGGGTGAAGACGGGTAGTGGAGCGAGGCTCAAGCCGTAGTAGTCGTAGTAGTAGTAGTAGTAATAGTAGTAGTAGTAGTAGTAGTAGTAGTAGGGGAGTTGAGGACAGTTGCTTCTGTATTTCTGTATATGTCGCCATTATGGCCCTCAGTCCATTACTCACTAGATTCACAAACGACAAAAAATATGGCGGTGTATTTTTATTTATTTTTTTTTTTTAAAAAGGGGCCCTGAGGGCTTCATATTCCATTCAATGATAGACCTGAGGCCGGGAATCCTCAACAAACAACCCGGGGGAGAAGAAGGATAGGGCGAGCCCTACAGCCGAAGGAAAGATTACGACAGGCGTCGGGTTCCAAAGTCTAGGGACAGAAATGGCCAACTCCAGACCGTTCTGGAGGAAGATTCATTGTAATTTTGCACATTCTGAGAGAAGTGGAGGGAGGCTCTTTATATCATCAATATATGTAACAAATGATACGCCAATGCGCATCCTTATCCCCTCTGCAGACTGTCTCTTTTTTTGCTTTTTCCTTTTGTTTCCCGAGTCTACACTGCCGGTCAGTATGATTTCTCTTTCTGTTTATTATATTTTTTACATGATTTATAATTATTCATACATATCAAACGATCACAGCCAGTCACGCCCACCTTTTACATCATGCTTTTTTTTTTTTTTTTAATGCAACTTTTATTACGTCATGCATTATGCTTGC